CAGCAGTGATGGAAACATGACACCCGATTTTTTGACTATTATTAAGCTCAGTGGTGAACAAAGGTTTACAATACTTGCATATTTTGCTCAACAAGATAATATTCACAAATTAACATCACTTTAATGATGTTTGAAGCATAAATGCGATCCTGAGAAGTTAAAAGCTAACGTAAGGCTATAAACACACATCAATTCAGATTATCTGCTCTAGTTGTGCAGTTAACACAGAAACATTTACAGATAATGTTTTGAGTTTGAATTCTGTATAGTTAATGACTCTCTCTCTCTCTCTCTCTCTCTCTCTCTCTCTGTTTTTTTGCTGTGTCGCTCTACCCAGTGGGTGTGTCAATTCTGCACCTATCTGAACTACGCTCCTGCTACAGTGTGTGAGATGTGTGACCTGGCTCGCCCAGAGCCTGCACCCCTACCTGCGAAGCTTCGCCCTCCCTCGCCCGTCAGACGTGTCCCTGCCCTACCAATCAAATCCAAAGAGCCCCCCTCTGAAGACCTGGACTCCTGTAGGCAGAGACTGATGAAGGAGGAGGGGCTGAAGCTGATTCAGCTGATTAGAGCAAGTCACCTTCATTACCTGTAATTGTGCTTGGATCTTAACTACATTTAGAGTCTGTGTTCTAGTGTGTTTGTCCTTTTTGTGTGTGTCAGGATGGGGAGAAGAAAGGAATGAGTCCAGAGGAGGTGTACACAAGCATGAGGGTAGCTGGGGACAGCAACATCCTGCCCTGCAAGTGGTTAAAGACAGAGCTTCCGCTGCTGTTAGACCAGATCAGGATACATGTGGCGACATCCTCCGTTCAGTCTGTTTCTGACAAGACTACAACAGAGCACACAGTCAGTATGCCTCTCTCAAAGCCTGTTTAATCCTGACAAATCTATGTTCCTCTGACTGTCACTGTCAGTAGTGTTCTCTGTCCTCTAATACAGAACAGGTCATGTGAAGCTCCTGCTGAGGATGCTGGGACAGAAAGCGTGGTCCAGTTGTCCAGAGCAGAGGTCAAGCAAGCGTGGCTGACAACAGGGGGTGACACAGAGAGAGCTGCCAGACAAGCTCTGAGAGACAGACTCGCCAAGGTGACCAATATGTCTCCATGTTTAGAGATGCACAATATTGCAGCAGTCCTTTTGTGTAGAGATAGTATCATGTTTTCTTCACCCCACCTTCTCAGGTGAAGAAGCTGCATGCGCTGGGCTTCAGCGATGAGGCTCGCTGTCATGAGGTTTTGAGGCAGAGTGGTGGTGAGGTGAGAGGCGGCCTGACCCTGCTGCAGCGACCCCTTCTAGAAGCCTTCCACAAGCGCATTTGGAGTGACAAGCCCGAGCCTCCTGTAGACATCCATCACCCCGACAAACAGGTGAGAACAGGTGTTTACATGAGACCTCAGTACAGTTCAACCTTCAGCCATCTTAAAAGGTTTCTTTACATTAATGCCAAGAGGGGTGTTTGGTCCTAAGCCACCGAGACGCCCAGCCCAGAGTTGACAAAAAAGGTCGCGTTTCAACTCGCAGTGTTCATAAGGAGTGTCATAACTGTTTCCTGGAAAATTAACAGTGCAAGTCTGCTTTAAAGGGCAATCAAACCCATATATATACATTCAGACATTATCTGTCACATGTACTACTTTTCAGGATATAGTGGCAGTTTCAGCAAATATGACAAAAGGCTATTTGTAAAAAAGTCACCTACTAAGTAAGTAACAAGAAATGTGAGTTCACCAGAGCTTCTGTGTGATCAATCTGCCTTAAAGGACCAGTGTGTAGGACTTGAGAGACTTGATCTAGCATTGAGATTGCAAATTTCAACCAAGTGAAACCCTTTGTCTCAACAAGATAAGATGAAGATATAAACTTTATTAATCCCCTACTGGGGAAATTGTTTTTTCACTCTTTTTTATTTTTTTTCACACGCACACACACACACACAGGCTGAAATACACACTTCATGCAACAGGGAGAGAGATTGTGGAGTGCTGCCACGTTAGCAGCGCCCCATGAGCAGTTTGTTGGGGTTAGGTTGCCTTGCTCAAGGGCACCTCGGCAGTGCACAGGACCACTGCCGAGCCTACAACAACAAAGCACAAAGGAAAAACTACAGTGTTCATGAGACTCACAGAAAACACGAAAGGTCCTATCTGGAGCCAGAGTTTGCTTTGTCTGTTCTGGGCTACTGTAGAAAACTACTGTGGGCGATAATGCTCCAATGAAAACATACCTATGAATATTATATTCCATTTCTGAAAATAGATCCTCCTAAATGTTACAC